CTTAGGCTAGAAATGCAGCAATTGATCTGTGATAACTGAAATAAAATATTCGTTCATTTGATACTCCAGAACGAGAGACAATATTTTTGTTCTGGTGTTTGAAAAATATTTCCGTTTACCGCTGTCTTTTTTAGAATTGGCCAGATACGGGTTACATTTGTTTTGTTCTTCCACATACTGCTTTCTGGTTTCCAAGCAGGAGACGATAGTCAGAAGGAAGTGAGAATTTAGAAATACTGTTTTATAAAAAATACATGAAAATAGGCATCACATCTTCTTAGTTTGAGTTTGGAAGCCTTGTAGGGATGATACACTTCCTCAGATATTCTCAATATTCAATAATCGTCACAACAATATAGGGTCCTTTCATCTCTATTTTCCAAATTTAAATTTCCACGCAATCTTTTTCTACTTTCAAATTATATTATCACATGTTATTGTAGACAAAATGATGAATCTACTGTGCACACATTATCGATTAAACAAAGCACTTCTCTGAACATCTACCCTAATTCCATGTACTCATCAAATTAAAAGGGGAATTCCCTCTCGTGTTCGCCACCTTTTATTTCCTGAAATTCCGTTACGGTCAGATTCGTTTCATTACTTTGGAGAACGAACTGTTCCAGATGTAGATTAGTATCGTGGATTTGGTTCAATATTTATTCCATTCAACACCGTACCAAATACGGTTTAATTTTTCTACATTGTCAACAATGAAGATATTTTTTGTTCCGGTGGCCACCATAATACAGTAACATAGAGACAAATCATCTGTTGCCAAATCTAAAAGTCTGATGTAGTACAGAACAAGCATGTTCACAAATTAGCAGAATGATCCGATGGAATTAACTCGTGACTGCGCTATTCTGGAGGAAAATTTCTAATCAGAAAGACATGAATGGTGATAATCCTAAGTATATCATCAAACTTATGTTTGCCTGAATGTAAAAAGTGAATAAAACCTATAGTTGTATCGAAATATGATTGATTCTTCAGGAACATTTTCTATGTGCCTCGCTGTAACTCTAGAGGTACTATTTAATCTTCTATCTCTGCTCCTCCGTGTGACGGAAGAAACAACAGGACTCACTAACCAGAGCTAACCTGAAACCGTTCACTTTGTGTGGATACATGAAGATTCTGAATTTTATCACATCAAAATTCTTATTGAAACCATCCGACGTATTTGCTTGCCATGGTCACCTTTGTAAGTTTTGAACAACAATCAAAACAGAACATCTTACGAGCCTCAGTTGAGTGAAATGCATAAGACACCACCAAGAAGCACTGAAAACTTTGATGTCCTGCCCTTTTTCAATGAACCCTTGAAAAAATAAATTCTCCTGATGTCATAACCAGTTTAGAGTAAATTGGAGCTGATACTAAAGTTGATTTATTTCCAATATCCCTTTCCTTTTCAATAGCCTTTTTGTGGACTTTCGAAAGGAGATTTGGAAAAAAGCAGACATTCAATTTAACGACTTCGCCTAATAATTGGAGTATCAGGTAATGAAGATCATTTTCATTAATATGAAACTCCACCAGCGATAAGTTACGCAGTAAGAGTCTTATGAGTTGTCAGTGGAATCAATCAAAGAAAGTTGAATGGACCCGAGAATGTTTTAGACATCTGAAATTATTGGGGAGACAGTACACTTGTTTTTCGATTGCTGACCATTTGTATTGAGAAATTGGTCTTCGTAACATTCACATGGTTTTCGAATTCGAATAGATTAAAATTATTTTCGAGACCCATAGGTTGCAGTACTGAGATGAACGAATATACTGATCGGAATGAAATGTTGGTCAAATCTTCAATATATTCTCGAATGAACAAATCGCCATTTGGGCTACACTTTGAAGATTGATGGATCCTAGAAGTGGGGACGTTACTAATCTGGAAATGTCTATAAAAACTAGAATATACGACTTGTCTGGAAGAACATTCAGGAATCACAGGCAATGACCAAGTTCCGAAACAAACACCAGAACTACAATACTCCTCTGAGCACTTCTGCAATAATTCTGGTGTTGGGTAAAAAGTGCAAGTTTTGGAACGTGTTCATTGCCTGTGATTCCTGAATTTCATCATACCAGATGTTCCAATTTTACCTTTTATTGATGGACATATATGGGCCGTAAACCAACTATGAGTTCACTGAAACTTACGTTACAAAAATTTTGCTATTGAGAGATATCAAAAGTATTGAGAACTCTCATTTGAGAATATATAGGTAAAAACCTTCACATAAAAAAACTGAACACGTGGTCCTCAATGGAGAAGAATTTTGCTCTGAATGATTTCACGGGTAAATACATTTTAGCATGTTTTGAGTAGGTACGTGAGACAAAAAATTTATCAACTATGCGAATAAAATCATGTCCAGAAGAGAACGACAATCATCCAACAGACAAACTGCTCAACCAATTACAGGAAACAATATTGATGAAATGGGTGCAAAGATAAAAGGAAAAACACAATAAGCCTTTGAGGAGGTAGTGTTTTCTGGAGATATGAAAGAACTGAACGAGTTAGACAGCTACCATTGAACGGAAAACCATAAATTTGAAATACCTGAGTTGTATTCAAATAGGAACATGTCGATGGAAACTAATTCAGGAAAGAACAACAGAAAGCAGTTCGAACAATGGTAAAACTGAAACTATCCATTACAAACAAACTTTTGAAAAGTAGATTGAAGAAGCGACACTCATGAGGTGAAGTAATACAGATTTCTGATACAGTTTACCTAATGGTTATTACCGTACCGAAATTCTTATTCAACATAAAAGCTTTCAGAAACGAATACATAAATGGATTCGGAGATAGAGATATTGCATATTTCATTTGAAATAACTATTTTTATTTAATCTCTTTCCTGAGCACACTAAATTTTCACGACAGTCTGATTTTGGTTATTACTTTCAATTGGAAAGATTATCAATATCCATGATACAGATGAGATGATAACACTCGATATTTCCTCTAGCACTAGCAATAGCCTGCATGCTTCTGAGTATGCTGTGGAGAATATCACTGGTGACTTCTTGCGAAATTCGATTGCATTCTTCTTGTGCATAAATACTTATTTCTGCAACTGAGTTAGGAGCTGAATTTCGTTTTCGTATATTGGTGACCTGTCCAGTGGCTCAATCCCGACTCAAGGTATCGGATCACCCTACCGATTATCGTATCCAATAAAGCCGGTATAAGGTAAAACATGCTGTTCAAATATTGCGTATGTACCAATCAGCATCCATTTTCAAGTTTACCTCATCAAGCTCCGTGCCATCTTCCAATTAATTCCTCACCAAAGCATAATAGAACTCCGAAGCCAACGTTTTGTACAAGCTTACATTCTGCAAACTGTTTCCCAGTTATTCACCATACTCGATCACGATCATCTGGCTTGTACAATTGTTTCATCTGTGAATAGGTTTTCTTCCATAAATGTTCATTTCTAAGCAACCGTCTGGTTTTGTTACGTGAAAGAAGCTCCGCGATTCTAGCAAGGCGTTCTGGATTCAAACTGACCTCCTTCAGTTTTTGCATGACTATTTTGATAAGAATGTTTGCTTGTTCATCAATAAGCAATTCAGTTTTTGGTGATCGATTTGTCAAGGTTTGTATTCTTAAAAACTGGTCATCCCTTGGTAATGTATATCTTTTTTTTTGTGGTCTGCAATCTTTACTTGTTAAAGTACCAGTTATAACAGAAACTAACTCTATGGAATATTGTATCCCAATCACGGACACTACAGAAAAAAGAAATATACCGGCACTAATAAATAATACTGATAATAACTATAACTATGATACGTTGTGATATGTATGATATCACAAACGTATGATACGTTTGTGATATGTTTGTAATTTTTATCAGTATTGTTTATACATTATAAAGGCTATTTCTGAACATCGTTGATTGAATTAAACCCAAAAGTCTCCACTGCAGGGCTTCCAGCAATAAAAAAAAGCAATGACAAAATATTTTTGTCTTTGAAAATATTCACAGCATCCAAAGGGGGCATTTCAAAAAAGGGACAACTACTATATCAAAGAGGAAAAATAGATGAAGAGTGGAAAATAACATGGGAGGAGAGGAATGAATGTAACCAGGAAGGTTTTGATTCGAGGTGATGAAATTGACTATTCAAAAGCTTTCTCAAACGTTATCATGTCCACTGAAAATCTCACGATGAACTGTTGCTTGAATTTTGTAGCATATTTTTGTTATCATTTCCTCAACCAAGATTTTTGTCAAGAGTATTGAGTTTCCATACAATAATGATAACATTTTCTCATTTTAACTGATATCGTCATGTTATTTTGCCAGTTATTTTCGTCCACGATCTTCAAATGAATGTAATATTATACGATTCACCTGATTTTGGTTAAATAAATATAATACCTATCGGTTTGGATTGACAGTCTGTTACTAGTTCTGAGCTCGTTTTATCTTAGTTTTGACAGAAAGGTAAGTGCTTCTTTGTTCAAAATATTCAGTCCAAAATACTTTTTTGTGTCTTAATAAATAAACTACGCCCTTCATTCTCATACCTGTCAAAACTATATATTTTAAATAAGAAAGGTGAATACTAGCCATTCCGCCAGTGTTACGTCGAAAATATTTTTTTATAAAAATTTCAAAATTCTCGAAAGTGATTCTAATAATTGGCTAAAAGTTACGTCTCATCTGTTTCTGAATATAACAAATAATGGCAGCATGCAAATTCCACGTGTTTTGAAGTTGTTAAACTGGTCTAAAGTTTTTCTTGTAAAAATCTCCTACTCATGTCTCCCGATAGAGAATAATATTTGTATTCATATAGTACTCACACTTCAAACCCAAAATTGAAGACGGAGAAAATAAATTCAAGTTTATTTTGAAGTTTGGAGGGCAGTACGATTAGAGTCCCCAACATTGCACTCGATGACGTTATATTTATTGAATTACGCTACTACGCTTCAACAAAAAAAACTACTCCATGCTCACCTCTTCCACTCCTTCCAACAAACCTAAGATCATTAAATTTAGCTACTTGATTCTTCATAACAGCCGTACAGTTCCTCAACTCCGCACAATAGTTCTCATCATTCCCAGCTTTAACAGTCACCACAGTCCCGTCTCCGATGTCACCTAACGCCACCACTTTGAAAGCCACTGGTAATGTCTTGTTCGACCTCCAATGAGGAGGTAAAACGGTACAAACAAACAAAGGACTTCCAGTTCTTATGAGTTCCCCAGGATGCTCACTCAGGAAATCGTTCAGGGTCCTCTCGGCCAGGATGTCGGAGGTCATTTTGGTGTACGTGTCCTGAATCAGGCTGGTAGTTCCTTCGGGGGTGGAGGCCGTAACGCCAGTGCCTGAAGGGGTGTTGGTCAAGTGCATGTTGGGTAGTTTCCAGTCACCAAACATAAACAATAGTTCTTAGCACTTTGGTAGTTGGCGGAGATTCTTGAAGTTTGGGAAAGGTTTGCTTTTGGCGACATTCATCTTATGATTCGAAAAGAGTTGCGTTTGTCCATGAGTGGCCATAGTGTTAACAGTTATGTCAGTGCAACAATAGCAAGTGATTGAAAGTTTAAATAGCGACAAACAAAACCGTAATATCCGGCAATCCGATTAAAAAGTATGTAGCACAAAACCGATAACAATTTATTCGAATTCAGCGAGTTAAATTCCACATGTCATTCAAAAAATCCCACGCCACACGATCGCGGGGTTGCCTAGCAACACATGTCAACACTTTTTCTGAATGAACTTTTTTATAGGGGTGGGGAATCGGTATAACGCACTCACATATTAGCCGCCACTTGATCAGGTGTGCAACTTCCCGATGACTTTTTAATGAGAGCTGCGTCGGTTGATTTTTGTTAGATTTTCCGCGTGATGCATGTGTTTTTAGGATTGGTGAGCGAAGCTACCGCTGTGTCTATTTCGCTCGCCGACATTTAAACCAAAACTAAAGATTTAGCCGGTATGTTGTTGATTAACTAACAAAAACGGGTCGGCATGTACGTCGCTTCCAAAAATACACACGGGACCTAACAGTTAGAGGAAGACAAGCGACATAAGTGTTGTCTGTTAAAGCAGCAGCTACCGCGCGTTTGATAACCCTTTACTTATCAGGGGAACACCGTACACTCCCGAAACGGGAGAGACAGAGAGGGGAAATAGCTAGATTAAAACAGAAGCTAACATAAAGGGGTACATGTCTGATAGAGAGCAGATAGAGTGTAAGAGAGACCCATCTTGTTTGCGGTCAGAGCGGGCTGGGCCTCACTCCGGTGGAAGACAGCTTGATACCAATTATCCCGTAGGAGAAAGAGACGGAATTTCAACGCGGTTTTTTGGCCACAGCACGCTAGACGCAGGCGTCACGTATGGAGTGAGACGGGCTGCAGCGTGCTTTGGACGGATTGTCATATGTTTTGTATTTGGCAACGTGGTGCCGTGATGTGGCTATTATCCTAACGTGATACACCGCGGAAAGGATGTAGCGGTGAGCAGGATAAAACGGAGGCGAAGGATTTAGGGCTTTATTTGTTTTGGGGAAGTTTGTTTTGTAATTCTTGTGCAAACTTCAGGAAAGTATCGAGTGTATTATAACGAGTAGTGAGGCTGATAGGTAAATTTGGTAGTTGCGAAGTTAGATTTGTTTGTTCTTGAATGACGTCAAGTTTGGTGTTTTGAATCATAGCTCTTACGCCTGAAATTGGTGGGTATGAAAGTATCGCAAGACGTAGGCATGTTTTTAACTCCAGAATCGAAAAACGAAATGAGTTGAGAAAGTGAATATATTTATCTAGGTTGACAATTATTTGAAGAGACCATCTGTCACATCTCAGCAATCAATATTATGAAGAACGGGTATAAATACAAATTTAAATAGTATTTGATTTGTATGACTGCTGGAAATCCTTTTCTTGTAAAATGTCTACGTGATTGGTTCTTTATTGATTCCTAATCAAATTATTCCTCTTATCTTCGAATTCAACAGCTTGTGAATGAAACACAATGATTCCTATAAAAATAGTATTTTAATGTTTCGGAAAACAATAAATACACTCTGTTCGCCTTAGAGCCACAAAGCGGAAAATGTGAGGTTTGCAAAACTTAGAAATATACTTTTATTTTTTTGTTTTTTGTTGAGTTACAAGTTGTTTTTGGTATATATCACCAAAAACATTTGAATGTTTCAACAATACCACATACATTGTTGCCGCTTAATCGAAATTTTGACATCTATAACATCCATTATATTATTATTATTCGAATAATAAAAGTAACAGAATATTTTTGATTGATGATTCCAATGATTTGTTTTTCTGCTGAAACGGTTTTTCATCAACTTCCACCATATCAATATTCAGTATTCAAGTAACACTTTACAGTAAGATTTTCACTAGAATGTTTCAATATACAATGGCTTCGTCAGACGTAGTCATACACTCCTAAGGAAGCTAGTGTTTTGTGAAACGAATGTTGCGGTTTTGTGAATGTACAGTGGAAATAAACAATGTGTTGTTACCTGGATACGTTATGGATTTCCGTCGAGTGTCGGCTAATTTCTGCACGCGATGTTGCTTGTTGCGTTGTTAACCTCTTTGAATTTTCATTTGAACCAGTGTATGTATTATCCGGGCGTGTGTTCTACTACTCCGAAGTTTCTGGTGTCTCCTCATTTGAATATTTCCTTGTTTCATCGATATTATCATGACATTCCCAAGGTTTCTGGTAGACCCAATTCTTGAAGTTACTGTTCACGTTTGGCATTTTGATCTGTGTGAGAACGCTGCGGATTATGTGAAGGGACCTGAAGAAAAATTTAACGTACAATTCATAGAAACGATTCGTCCGATTTCTCCCGATAGATGAGACAATACTGGTTGTCACAGCTTTTATTTTTTGTTAGTCCTCTGCAGTCATCTGATTAATATTTGTTCTACCAGCTTCTTGGTGCATCAATTCTACCGAGGATTCCTCGCTTGCGTAATTACTGGAACTGATGAAAGAAATGTGCAAGCAGAACAAGCACAATGAAAACTGGGGATAAACATTTCATTGGATGTGAATCAACTCAGTAAAGTCAGATTAGAAGAACACTAATCTTTGAAAACATTATTTTCTGAACAAATACTTGCTTGATGTTGAAATTTCCACCAGATGTATAGCGGAGATTAGTCCACCTCCAAAATATGTCATCTCAAATAATATAGTTTCATCACTAAGATATCAATAATTTTGATTAATTTTGATTGAAAGCGGTATATTTTCAGGAGAGATTGATTTTTGGAAAGAAAGGTTTTGTCTTTCTACTTCTCCATCTTCATATAAAAAATGTGGGGAAACTTCCATAACAAAAAAGAAAACGATTATTTGAAAAAAATTGTTTATAAAGATGTAGATCATGAAAATACGTTACTTTCAGACACAAACTGGAAA